GCGGCACAGGGAGCCGCAGCCTTGCCTCCCGCCCGAAGTAGCCTCAAAATCAACCACGAGCAGCCCCAGACTAGAAACAGGGCACCTCCCCCACCTCCCTGACCGGTGGCCACCCTCCCTCCTTTTGGATGCCTCCACTGACGATGAGCTCACTACCTCACAAGGCAGTCTGTTCATCCGCCAAGCCAGGCACCTAATCCATCTATCCTGAGTACCACACTTTGACGGGAGCAGAGGGAGAAAGCCAGTCAGCTTGCAGAAATACAACATCTACAGCAACTCCTGTGGGTCGGAGAGGCCCCTCTTCTGAGTGTCTTAGCGCGCAAAAATGCCTCCTGAATCCAGGCTGCCCGCAGAGCTTTTTCACAGTGACTGGGCAGGACTGGACACTATGGAGTGACCTCCGTCTAATGTAGGGTTTCTCAGCCTTGGCACGATCGACATTTGGAGCCAGATAATGCTTTGTTGTTGGAGACTGTCCTGTGCATTGTGGGATACTTAGCAGCATGCATGGCCTCTACCCGCTAGATACCAGTAGCATCACCCTCTCCTTGTAATAACCAACAATGTCCCCAGACATTGTCAAATGTCCCTAGGGGCCAAAATCATCCAGTTGAGACCCACTGGCTTAACACCCTCATTGTACAGATAAGGAAGCTGAGATTTAAAGAGAGGCGATGACTTGCCACATAGTAAATTGAGGTGCAGAGAGGACTGAAGCCCCGGGCTCTGGTGAAAGCCTCGCGAGGCCTCTTTGCCCTGCTGCTCTGGCAGAATTTAGAAAAGACTCCACATCTGTAAGTAGTACGTTAAAAGTGCAGCCTCCTGGTGGGAATGTACCATGGTGCAGCCACTTTGGAAAACAGTCGGGCAAGTTCCTCAAAAGGTAAAACATGGAGTTACCATATGAACCCAGCAATTCTACTCCTAGGGATATGCCCAAAAGCAATAAAACACATATGTTCACACAAAAACTTGTACATGAGTGTCTGTAGCGGTTTTATTCATAATCGCCAAACAGTGGACACAACCCGAATGTCCATCAATTAATAAACTGATAAAATGTGTTGTATCCATACGATGGAATATTATTAGATCATAAAAAGGAAAGACATACATGCTATAACATGGATGAACCGGGAAAACATTATACAAAGTGAAAAGAAGCCAATCACAGAGGACC